CTATTGTAGTGCTTACATGGCCTTTTCCTGATCAACTGAGGCATCAGTTTCAGGCCACAGATTCCCTTGGCGCAACATCCACTCATCTATGTTCTCCTTGTCATCCAGCTTTGCACCTGCTTCTTATGAAGATATGTCAATTATGATAAGCGTCTTGGCTTCATTCTGTTTCTCTTTATTTATCCTCAAAACGTTCTATGATGTCAAATCACAAACTCAAAAGAAATAAATATGATTTTGAAAGACAGTGCATCAGACAATTATATACATACACACACACACACATATATAGTTTGGTTTGGTTTACAAACTTTAGCTCATCAAAAGATCACTGCATATACTCCAATTAGTGTGGCAGATTCCCTATAACTTCTAAAAGAGAAGGCCAAAACATACCAGGTTCTCCCACACTTGTAGAAAGCCGCTCCCCATTCACCTGCGAGTTATACAATGAAAGTCTCTAAGTTATTACTACATATACGTAAACTGCATGCTTGTAGAATACAATTATTCCTTCTTAGAGTTACCTTTGCTAAACCCGATTCAGAATTCCCATCATCATCTCCATGGATCATGTTTCCCTTTTGCATCTCTTCATGCTTGAATTCATGTTCAATGTCATCCACATCGTCTTCATCCTCATCTCCCTCCACTCTTGGACTTCCTTTGCACATCAAGAAATATCAATCAAAACATAAGTTACAAAATACAAAACAAAAGTATATATACATGACAGTAGCTAAATTTCCAATTAACCTTTGATGCGCTTGTATCTTGTATGACACTGAGGACAAACTTGAGTCCCTTCCCTTCTCTCATACTCATAGCATGGCCTGCACACAGGGAAACCACACTCTTCACAAGCTACAAACAAGTCTCCTTCAACTGTAACTCCCACAGAATCACCACATATCTCACAGAGCTGACCATCTAAGTTCTTCACCGGCTTAGGCTGCAGCAAATTAAGGTTGGTTTATGTTATTCAAACATACAGAAAATGTTACCTTATAATTATGAAAAAAGTTATTACCTCATCGTGTCCTTGAATGGCCACAAGCTCTTTGCTGTTTGGAGTACCAGCAAAAAGACCTGTACTAGCTTCCATGGTGAATGGGGAATGGAAGCAGTGCAAGTATCTGTGAGAGGTTGGGTTTTGCATATATACCTATTCTCATGGATTAAGGTAACTAAAACATGCATGTGTGTCCACATAAGGCTACTATTGATGGTTGTGGGATTAATTTTGATTTGAAAGGTTGAAGTTATACACTGCAACAAAATAAAAATGTTTAGCATCTGTTGAGGTGATGAGTGAAAGTTCTTTCCTTGTTAAGGTTCGTAGGTAGAATGATCATGTCATGTTTCAGTTTCAAAATGCTTATATTACTGGAGAAACTTACGTTGTTCCTAATGCTTGACGTTTTATTATGCAGATTACCATTATTCTAATTTCAGATCATGCTGCTGCATAGTTTGAAACTCAATCTTTTTCAGGATTCTGATATTTCTATAGTGTTTGGTAACACGAAATTGATGTGTAAAACAATTCCACAAAAAATACTAATGTGGAAGTAGCCATCTGTTTTCTTCATTAATAATAAAATATAAACTCTCACCTTGTTTATATTCCATATTAGCATCATGGTTGGGGTAAGTTTAATCATTGATTTTGTAAAAATTGAGATGTGATAGCTACATTAAAAAGAGTCTGCATGAAGATATGCATATGATATGAACCCATCTTCCGAAATTAGCAACATCCTAACCCATGAGGCAACAGGATGAATGCTTTTTAATTAATTAATAAAACACACATCTTTTATAGACTTGGGCTATGAATGTTTTGAGCAAATATATTAATACAGTGAGAATGATCCCTTAAAACGTGTTCATTCAATCTCACATATAGAAAATAAATAAATAATGATTTTGCTATTTATGTTAAAGATATAATATTTTATCACTGTATGAAGGTTGGTATCATATATCATACTTTTATCAAGTAAAACTATTTTATATGATAAATTAAAAAATTATCATATTTATATAATAACTTTTTCATAATATTATATAACGTGTGTGTGTATATATATATATATATATATATATATATATATATATATATTATAAAAGTGTTACAATAATGAAAACACAAGTATTATCATCACTCTCTATCCAAAATCTTAAGACAATGAATTAATGGGTTTTTCATTTTTATATAATAGACTGTTTTCTCATTTGTATCCAATGTGAGACTTAGACTCACTTAGATTTTTATTCTTCCAACTAATATCTTATTATATGATATATTTTTATTCTTCCAACTAATACTTTAGTTTTCTAGAAATTGTTAAGCTATATATAGGTTAATAATTGATGATTTTGTGCATAAAAGGAAGTGACTTTACGTTTTATGTTTTATGTGTTATTTATATGAGAATTTTATTTTGTATCTATTCTTTCAATGCTTAACTGCTCTTAAAATTTGGTGTTAGTTAAAAAAAGAATCTCACTTTTTATGATATTTATTTCTTTTTAAAAGGGAAACACAAATCACTAGTTTTTCTAATGAAGTTTGTTGTTGTTATTGGTGAAGTCCCAATTATTTGGAAAATAAGAAATCACGTCAAATTTCAAAAGTTTACTCCTATAACTTCTACTTGTATCATTTCTAAAGGCTAGCTGATAATGTCAAGTTTCAAAAGCCTATTCATATAATTTATACTCTTCGGATCACTTTTCTAATTTTGAGGCTAGCTGATATATCTTATACTAAAACAATGGATAACACCATTTTTTATTTCACAGTATTAAATTTTTTTTGGTATTAAATACTTAGTTTGGAAAAGTTTCTTCTTTGGTTTGGGAGCTTCTGTTGGTTACTTAGGTTAAAGTTAACACAGATGGTGCAAACGATTGTTTTTGTTTTGGTTGCTCGTATTTTTTGAGACAGGAGGAAATATTAGCAGTTTTTCTCCTTTTTTGAGAGTTCAATCACTATGTTAAACTTATGAGAATCATTTATGTTGTGAATTATGCTTCCACTGTGATTTGGTTTTGGTGTACAAAACCTTATTTTCACAAAGAATTGATCCTTTGTTCTTTAGAGGAAAATGGAAGAAATTTTTAAAGATTTATAATAATATGAAATTTAAAGTTTCACATATTTTAAGGTGAGGGAACCATTTTACTGATATATTGGCTAATTTGGTGTAGTAAATAAGAATCATTTAAATAGTATTCTTATACGCCTCTTGGCATTAGTTTGGATTTTTTTTTTATATATAGGTGTAGTAAATATTATAATTTATATATATATATATATATATATATATATATATATATATATATATCATATATAGTGATAGTATAATATTACTATTTTCATATTTTTTTTATTTCTATAATATTATAATATTGTTTTAATATTTTTTTATTTCTATAAGTTTATAATGTTTTATATCCGTATTATATTATTATTTTGTAAGAGTAACCGTTAATATAAATACAAAATGTTGATATTTTTCAGTTGACTAATTGTTTGTTGAGAAATATTTTATACATTGATTTGAATGTATTGCTTCCTTGCTCAAGGCATTTTGTTTGGGTTAAGAGTACTTATGTTTATATTGCATTATTCAAAGTTGTTTACCTTAAAAAAATAGAGGAAATAATCTTCTTTGTTTGACTATCACCTTGGATAATGATAACCAATTTTGGAGAAATAATGAATGAGTCACCTCCTAAGTTAACACTTGAAGTTTGACATAAAGTCGTAAATTTGTTAAAAGTCACCCAAAATGGTTCATCAATAACAAATAAATGGATATGGGAAATGAAGTATCTTCTAAGATCTTCATATTAAAAATGGCTATATATTTAGACAGTCTATAAAAAGCATACTTAACATTGTGATAAATGCTAATATCAAGAAAAAAAAGAAGTCAAGAATGACATAAATTTGATAAACATTCCAATGTTTGTCCTTTTTACATTGAAAAATGTGTTTTATTTTACTAAAAAATGTATATATTTTAGTCTATATATACATGAAATAATATATTAGCTTTGAAAAGAGAGTTGAAACTCAATCTGCTGTGTTTTTAATAGCTTTCTTTGTAACATACTTTTCTTGTTCAAACATAACCATTTTCAGCATGCACTTATAATATGTTTTAACTATAAGATGTATTGCTGTATTAGAATCCATTTCCAAAGATGTGTGGTCAACTCTACTAACAGAATTCAATGTCTTATCATAACTGAACTAGCCACTAGAACTAAACTAATACACTTATTAATGATGCTTTGAGTGTTTTACTCCAAAAATGATAAATGTATATTCTCGAGACACTTTGATAGAAACATGGCTTGTAATATACAATACTAAATCTTTGTTACAGAAGAAATAACTGATGCTAAATTTAATGATGATTTATAGAATGACAAGAAACTATCATATCTTGAATATAAGTTTGCAAATGAAAGTGAATAATGCTTCATTAAACAATAAATGATGCTCCTTCAAATTCAGAAGTTGCTTCAAAGTCACAACATCATAGAGACCAAAGATATGTGACTTTTCATCCTAAAATCACATATTTTCATATTTATTTCTATCAAGCTCAATAATCTCATAACTTTTAAAAGTGGAGGTTTAAAACCCTTTAAATACTCTTTTTTCTTCTTCCCTCTTTTGAAGTGTTTTTTTAAAGAGAAAACTGACAGATATATTTATCATTACTTTTGGACTTAATATTTAAATTATGTATAAATACTGAAAAGGTTCCTTGCCTTGTAAGGTTCTATCTTTTTGTTGTGTTCGTTGAGAATATGATGAAGCCTACCACTTACAATGGTTGTGGTTAACATTTTGCTTTCTTCTTTTAATATTTATATGTTCTTTTTTAATTACAATTTTTGAATTTGACATTAACGTACCAATCTTGAAAATAATGAACATATTAGTCTGCAATTTTGCTTTACTCTAGAATCCTGGGGCAGTTTCAGCCAAACCATATGGTAATCAATATGCTTTTGAGAACATTTACAAAACTGATAACAATGTTTATGCTACACAAAATTTTTCACTCGCTCCTTATTCATACTTGTGCAGTGTCACTTTGCTGGTTTTTTAAATCATGAATTACCCTACAGACATCATTCAAAGATGTCTAGCAAAGAATACTAGTCTTTCAGCAGTTGATTCCACATAACTTGGTATCAGGTCCCTTAGTCTTGAGGACAAACGGATCAATTCTTACCCACAGCAAAGAGAAAATAGAAGCCAATAGAACTGACCAAATGACCACAATGGTGGGTGTGCGGTTTTGCCGACCCATCAAACCTTTAAGGAATGGATACAGATGAACAATCACCCAGAAAGAAAAGAAGAGTTTTCCAAAAAGTGGTCCCCAGGATTGGTAGCCATTGTTTATGGCATCTGAGACTCCAGCAACAACACCAACAATGTTAATGATCAAGATAGTGGTTGGAGGAATTAGGAGAGTAGTCCACTTAAAGGTGTATAGTTCTCCAAAGTCCTCATCGTCTGCTGCCTTGGATGTGACTGTGAAGTTGGTGTCAATTCCTGCCAGAACCTTTAGCAGACCTTGTATCACAGCAAAAAGGTGAGCTGATACTCCACCAATAACCCAAAACTGCTCATTTCTCCACCACTCCTCAATGCTCACTCCACTCCATTTCAACTCTAGGATACCAGTTGCAATGATTGAAGAGAAGAGAGCAACAAAGTACAAACCAGCAAAGGTGCTTATCTGGGTCAACAGACACAGAAAAAAGTAGCATTATGAGTAAAGAATCTTAGTGCACATGTTATAGGCTGGTTGAATTAGGATTGAAGAACTGAGCCTTTCAGCTATAATGGATTAAAAAGTTAGCCCTACTACATAGTAAACATGATTAGCATGAGCGTCATGTCTAGTGGTTTTTGTAGCCTATTATGGTGTCATGAGCAGCTAAGTTCATAATAGGAAGGGAAGAATAAGATCCTTACCGGTGGCATGATGAATTTGTCAGTGAGTAAGCAAACTGCAGGGAGAATACAATAGGCAACAAGAGGAATGGAGGTGAATGGATACACAGTTGTGTTTGCATAGGCAAATCTCTCAAGCCACTTTAGTTTCTTTTCCTTGAAGCCATACCATAGAGGGCAATGGTGACTGAAGAAAATCTCAATGGAACCAAGTGCCCAACGAAGCACCTGATTGAGACGATCTGACAAGTTGATTGGAGCAGTGCCCTTGAATGCAGCTCTCTTAGGCATACAGTAAATAGACCTCCACCCACGGCAATGCATCTTAAAGCCTGTTAAAATATCTTCTGTGATAGATCCATAGATCCAACCAAGCTGCACATTTTCAAAAGCAAAAGTGTGAATTGGATATGCTAATTGTCCTAATAAGACACATGAAGGCATCATGAAGTCATAAAAATGATGTTATTAGTGTACCTCAAGTCCCCATTCAGTTTTATCTTCATATCCACAGCTGATCACATGAATGGCTTCTTTAAGCAGGGCAGCTGGACTCGAAGAAGGAGGCACACCACCCTCTTCCATCAAGGTAGAAGTCACAAAGATAGAGGACTGTCCAAATTTCTTCTCAAAATTCATTTGGGACATCAGTATCTCTTTGTCATCATCCATCCCTATTGAATTTAGACAAGTCACACAAGGTTGGAAGAGGTAAAAGGAAAGAAATAAACCGAGACATAAGTCGGTGACAAGAAAGACTAGAAAAACAATAACCTTTTAGGCTTGCAGCAGCCTCTCCATTTGCATCACTCTTCTCCTTGTACTTCTTGCGGCTTCCAAAACAAGGGCAGCAATCACAGCTTACCATTTTTGGACGCTTGGGGCCCTTTGGAGGATCATAGCCATACAAAGCTTGCCTCCTGAAAACACACCCAGTCCCCACATATACAGGTCCTTGAATACCATCAAGACCCTTCATGTTAATCTGCAGAAAGACAAAAAGAACGGTGAATGATCAAATATTCTGCTCACAATGTTAAAACAAAGTCAATTGCAAGGTAAAATTTCTGCTAGCTTTGAGTTTCTTACATCAAAGAAAACCGTGTTTCTGTTGGCATAACGATCATGTGTATCAATACCGTCAAATCTTTGAGGAAACTGGACATAGCAGACCTTCTTCCCAATCTGGGGGTCCATCAAGAAGCACATGGCCTCTCTGGCAGCCTTGCTGTTATTGACATAGTGATCACAATCCAAGTTCAGCATGAAAGGAGCATTTGTGAGAACAGCAGATACCCGAACCTGTAAATTACAGCACTTATTAGTAGGGTCATGAAATATTTGTTATGCATAAAGGTGAACGATTGTTGTGATGAAAGTAACCAAAGGTGTTCAGAAACTCTACCAGAGCATTCATGGCACCAGCTTTCTTGTGGTGTTGAAAACCAGGTCTTTTCTCTCTAGAAACATAAACAAGACGAGGAAGCTGGTTTCCTTCAGTATCTAGACCCCCATTGCTTCCAAGAAACACTTGAATCATGCCAGGATGATCCTTAGTGTTGTTTCCTGGCCATGGTGTCCCATCCTGCATAATCCATCCTCCCTGAGGAACTTTCTGGGCCTTTGCAACAAGTGCATTGATCCTAACCTTAAACTCTTCGTATTCCCTCTGCCATTTACACGATTTACAGCAAATCAATCTCTCTAACAGATATCAAAAGTTTGAATAAAATTATTTAGTACCATATTAGTCCCTCAATGATGGAAATTACTTTTTTGTTTCCCAGTATGGTTTTAGTTGCGAAATTCATGATGTGAAAACTAGTATAGCATGTCAAAATCATCACTATTGATTACGATTCCTACTAGGTTGTCATAATAATGCAAACCTTCATGGCTCGACGCTCCTTGACAAAGGTGGGTTGCACTTTGTCCTTTAAGTAGTCTATCTTCTCACTGAAGTACATCTCAGGGGCGCGAGGTTCTATAGCAAATTTCTTACAAAACGGTACCCACTTCCTTGCAAACTCTGCAGTTTCTGACAGGGACTCAAATGAACACATTGAGGCTCCATCATCCGAAATATAGCATGATATCTTATCAACTGGGTAATCCATGGCCAAGATTGAAAGAACAGTGTTTGCGGTAACCAGAGGAGGTTCCTTCATTGGATCCACGGTACTAACAAAGACATCTACAGGAGAAAGCATGTTTGGTTCACCTTCACGCTCATACCTGAAAAACATGTTGGTAAGCAGCAAGTTTAAACTTTGTGGCCTCAACATAATTACCCTGTATCTCAGAGCTGTGCCTTTGCATGATTGAATTGTGCAACCTTTACCTGATGGAAAGACGGTCAAGGTAGGTCTCTCGATCAATGGGAAACCACTTGGGAAACTGATCCAGAATCCATGAAAAAGCAAACCATATTTCACATATGATAGAGGTTAGCCACAGCCCCAGTGCATCATGCACAGGATTCATAAGTCTGTATCTGAGGAAGAAAGCAAGAATGACAAGGCGTGCCACAATAACCATTCTGTATGGATTGATTTTGCTAGATGCTATTGGTACTTTCCTTGAAAGTGGTTGCCTTGCTTCATCTGACCTGCAATGATTGGCATCCACATTTACACAGTGGCCAAAATATCAGTAAAGGGGTGGCCATCATTGTTATATATTATTTCGTTCATAATCAATAACTACATAAACATAGTTTTCTGAAATGTAGTGCAAGAAGCATACATGTCTGCATCTGCATCTTCTTCAGGTTCAGGCCCCAAATTGCCTTGCTGCAATTTCCAGTCATCCATCCTTTCTTTCCATCCATCCTCTTTCTTTTCATCCCATCTGGCACTCCCTGCAGTAGACATCATAGCATGTCACATATTGAAGTACACTAAGAAGAACAGCTCAAGGAGCTGCATATATATTCATGAGGAAAAAGGTTTCTGTGCTACTAATAAAGAGGGCTGCCAAAATAGACCACCACTTACCAGGTTCAGACATTGGATATGGATGCACTCGTTTATGCAATGAAGAAGACAACATCTGCTCCCCATAACCATTGGATGATATTGGGAACTCGCCACTAACCTGTATCCATGCATGAATGAAATTTTATAGCTGAATGAAAACAAGTTACTGGAGAGAAAATGGTGTGAAATCTTACAGGCCTAGATCGGCCCCCAGAAATGACAGGTATTGGGAACTGGGAATTCTCATCATCTTCAGGACCTCTTCCATAGCTCATTTTCCCATGAAGCATGGCCTCTGCAGCATGGCCATGCTTGTTCTTTTCATCATCAATATTGAACTCATGCTCAATGTCATCCACATCCTCCTCCTCATCATCTCCCTGCACCCGCGGGCTCCCTTAATGAACAAACAGATCAAGATCGTATCAGGTTCCCTACTTGTTTCAACCATGAGTTCAAGTTCAACCACATCAAAATAAATGAAAATTCTGAGTGCTGTCATTAGCACAGCTATATCTAACTGTAGAAAAAGCAAATTAAGGTTTTTAATGTTTGAACGTTTTACTATGAACTAAATTTAGTTGGACTTACGCTTACTAAAAGAAAATGAAAAGGTTCAGTTTAACTCACTATTTCATTCAGTCTCCCTGGTATTGAGAGAGAAATTAAGCAATATCTTTCGAAAAAAGTATGTAAAAGGTGGTATACAAAAAGTGACATATCCAAATATCGATTGAAGGCTTACCTTTGAGACGCTTATATCTGGTTTTGCACTGTGGACAAAGCTGGCCCCCTTCTCTTCTTTCGTACTCATAGCAAGGTCTGCACACTGGAAAACCACACTCATTGCAAGCCACAAATAAGTCTCCATCCACCGTGAGTCCAACGCCATCACCACAAATCTCACATACTTGACCATCCAAGTTCTTCAAAGGCTTGTGCTGCACCAAACCCCCATGACATAATAGTACTGTTAATCCAACTGTTCCATGAAAACAAACACACACGCATACACACTCACAAAGAAAAGGGTCTTTTGACAGCACTTGTTTTAGCAGTTATCTTCCATTATTGCCACTACCACTGCATTACCTCTTCATGGCCATGAATGACAACGAGCTCATTGCGGTTATGCGAACCTGCTACCAGTCCAGCGCTGGCTTCCATGTCTTGGTGGTGACTTTGTGAATGGGACAATGGGATAGAATTCAACACAACACAAAGGGTGTGCTGTGAAGCTGAGGTTTGTGATCAAAGGTTTGTGTTTTATGAAGGAAAATTGTTGCTGTGTTCCTCACCAAATATGTCCACATAAGGGTGCTGTTGTTGGTTGCAGGGTCCCCATTGCCTTAAAGCTAAGCTTCGTCTATTTTTCAACAACCATGGCTTTGAAGCCTTGTCGAGCAGGCTACCTTGGTGCGTATCCTTTTCAAGCTTCCAAAAGAAATTACAGGGCTCTAAATACCGTCTCTGTTATTTTCACCCTTCGATCAAATTTTAAGTTCATTTTTGCACTCGGTTGCTCATAAATCACAGTTCTAGCTTAATTACTAGTGGGTAAGATGTGATAATGTGCCAAATCACTCTGATATTTAAAGATAGACTGATGTGAAAGTATGGTTAATTAGTATCAATCAAATTGAATTTTTTTCTCCTTTCATGTTGTTGGTAAGTCTCAGAACAAGTTATTAAAGGAATTTAAGCAAAGTATTGATCAAACGAAAGTAATTTGAGGGTCGAGGTCATTATATATATATATATATATATATGCGTATAGATTGTTATTGATTAATATACTTCTATGGTCAAAACACTTTTTCTCAACATGGAACAAATGAACTTCATATTTATCTCATCTAAGCTATAGTATTTAATTTCTATTACTTATTTTATATTAATTTGTATATATTTTGATTATTGTAAATGCATATAAAAGATAAATGGAAAATTGGATACTAGGCACAGTTATTCCTTAAGAAGAATGAAAGAAGAAATTAGTCATTAAATGGGTAAACAATTTAAATAATTTAATGTTGTAGTTTAATGACAATATATAGTCTCTAATATACTATCAAATTTAATATACAAATATACTTTAATAACAAAAATAATTCTGCATTGAGAAAATAATATAAATATTTTGTATTTTTTAATAACTAAATTGGCATCATCTCAAACGTTTAAGATCAAATTGATGGTTATTTATTCCTATATAAATTTTAGGATAATCTTTTTCAACGTAACTTATGACGAGACAGGAATACTCGAAACTTTTACATGCCCTACATGAGAAAATTCAAAATACATTTTGGTTTTACTTAGAAGATAAATCATGATTTAATAAGTTATGGAAAGAAGAAAAAAGTAGTCGCCATTGGGTCTTTTGACTTGAGTTATGATTTTCTTATCACAATAGACATTACCACATTCCTTAATATTTGCAGTTAAACTTGCCCATCACACTTAAGCTATACGTTAACTAAAATTAAAAGTAGGTATAACATTAAAAACATCAAATCATAATTACCAACTATTACATTGTAATCATTTTCATTCAAATGTAGAGTGATTATTAAAATCGACTTTAAATCCTTCTCAACGTACAGCTGTCTGATTTAGACAATGGCAAAGGCCATTTAAGAAATTCACAATTTTTATTAACTCAAGAAAACTAACTGTAATTGAATTCCCATTAGAAATTCTCATTATCTCAGATTTGGCAATCTCTTATCCTATTTTATTTTTGAAAACGTTTATTGGAAAACGCCGATTTGACAACAAATTAACAGCGATACGTGGGTTGCTGTGATTTGCTGTTTTAATTGGAAATTTGAAAAGGAAAAAACTTGATTTGGAGGGCATTTCTGGAATAACTTGTTGGAGCCCATATTCTTCCCGAAACTCTCTGTGTCCAAGTTATTCATTCGAAACTTGGCTTTCCACCAAATGAACTCCCAAACTCTGCGTCCACCATTCTGAACTTTGGGCACGCCACCGAAATGGTCTTTCTTGACCTACAAAATCGTGTTTGGAAGTATTGAAGTCCGGCATTGAAGTCCTTTGTCTCCGTCCACCATTGAAGTGTTGGAAGGAAGTGTATTGAAGGGGCAAGCGTTGTCACATTTTCTTGAAAGGAGTGGTTTTTTGACCGTCGCCCTTGTTCCTTGGTTGGTTGGGTTGAGTGTTAATCGCAAGGTATTTTGTATGCCCTTGTTCGCTTTCGTTTTTTGGAGATTTGACGACGGTTTTTTGTTGGCGAACCCGTGTTTTCCCATTTATTCCTTTCGCCATTTATGTATGTGGTTGTTTCGTTTTCCCGTTTATTGTGAGTTTGATTGTGTAATCTATGTTTTAAACCTGAGTTCAGGATTCCTGACTCCATGGTATGGGTACTTGTTTATACCTTGTTCGAACAACCATTGTCACCGGACGAACCCATTGCACAAAAAAGGTAACAACTTCCAGCAAATCCACACCGAACGACACAACGCTAATCTCTAACTCAAACAAAGAAGACGAGTTCACAGAGACACCGAAGGAGACAACTGTGATCTACAACTCAAACAAACAAACCCAATGTCCACAGAGATTCAAACCAAAACAATGGTCACAGGGAAGCGGGACAGAAAGATCTTGAAAACAAACGAAACCCTTACAATGGAGGACGAACAAGTGCTATGAAGAGAGAAATTCAAATGAAATTCAAATCCCTAAAATGGAGAGAGAAGAGGTTGATAAGGACAGAACATACAGTTCGAAAATGAAGAAGGCACTTTCGGAATCCTAACTTCTGGCCCCTCAAAATCAGATTTTTAATTACAAATCACATTCAAATTTCGACGAGTTAAAAGTTGACACGTGCCGTTGTCAAATTTGCGTTGTTAGAATATCCCAATCCTTTTATTTTTACTGATATACATCCACATTTATCGATGCACTAGTACGTATTTATCTTTTTGTGTGGGCACTTGTACCAATATACTTTTAGACTACGTTAAACGTGATTCATATGAAATCATAATTATTTTATTTTCTTAAGTGAACTTATTCAGCTTGACTGATGTTTCAAAGATATATGTTTCAATAGATGTTCTGTATTTATTTTAGTAATATTACTTATATTTAATTTTGCACATGCATATATTGAGCTATTCTTAATTCTCATTTAAGATTTAGTATAAAGAATTTAATTTATCTTTTATACCAATTCTTAAGTTGTTTCTTTTGAAAAGTTTGATAAAATTACTTGTATTGTCCGTTTAATTATAAATTGAAGGTCAATTATTATTAAAATACACAAATAAATCATTACTAAAATCGAACAGTGGAAGAATTTGACTGATCGGTCAATGATGAAAACAGTTAACTCTAATATTGAATAACTTAAATTAAATATAAAGTTTGATTTAAAAATCAATATGAATTATTACCAATATTTTATCAAATTTAAGACAATAAACTTAATTTATATATATTAAAAATATTTTTCTAAATGATGACTAAAGTCTCACCTTCAATTAGAACATTACATAATTGATAACAATGAAACTTTTAATATGCGTAATTATAAATTGAAGTTAAATAAATGTTCATCACATTAGTAATGGGTGTGAAAACTTTGTTGATGAGTTTATGTAATTTGCTAGATAAAATAAAAAACCTATTAAGGAGTCAAAAATTATTGTTCATGTGTTTGTTACTTTCATATTATTATGAAGGAAATTTAAGTGCTAAGTGAATTTTAAGTATAATTTAATTTTATAAAACTAATTTATAACATGAAATTTGTACTCAATTATTTATTATAAATTAATGTTATCTTTAATTGATGTAAAATTTTCAACACATCAATTCACGTGAAGAGATATACATAAACTTTATTATAAACATTAATTCATGATTTTAATATTAAGTTAAAAAGTAAATTTTAAATTTAATTCAATTTCACAAATTATAAGTTGACTTTTTGAATATATTATATATTATAAATGGGTGAAAGGTTCAAATTTTTTGCCACTAATCATTTGAAAAGATTTGAAGATGAGTGTTGACCAAAGTTAGTTTTATTTCATTTACTTATCCAATTCTATATAAGTTGTGTAAATATTGGGGACAACAGACAGTAGCAAACGGTGGTGTCAAAGTTATGTATTTAGTATTTGTTCGTAATAATTATAAACACCTATTACAACGGAAAGTTAATTAGAAAGGAATATTATACGAAAACGTTTTAACCAAAGGAGAAAAGAGCCCTGAACAAAAGGCAAAAAGAAAGTAGATTTGAGTGATAAAAACAAAAACAATTACAATAGCACACATCGTGTTGCTTTCAGAAGACTACGTTGTTGTTTGCAAGCTAAAAAACATGTCAGCATTGGTCTTGGAAGGCAAGAACTTAAAAGGTAAGCTATCCTCAGATCATTAGGTACGTAAGTTACAGCTTCTACATCTAGCCATTGAATACCCTCTCTCACTCATACCACAACACACACACACTATATATATATATATATATATATATAAAACCATAGGAAGAAGTTTTATTGACCAGAAAATGACGTTTTGTTTAACCAACAGTATATTGTTGCAATCAAGGGGGAAGACAAAAATATAAAGCCATAAGAATAATTTAATTTATATTTTATTAAATTGAATTTAAATAAAATTAAAATTAATTTATATTTTATTAAATTTAATTTAATTAAAATTAAGACTAATTTATATTTAATTTAATTTGTATTATATTTTATATTTTTTATAATTTTATTTAAATTTCATTTTAAATTTTATAAAATATTTTTTAAAAATATCATATATCTAATTTATAAATTCTAAAATATTTGTAAATATTTTTTAAACCAGTATTTTGATGAATAATATAATAGATACAAGTGAATTTTTTTAATCGTAAATCATATAACAGATAAATAATATCCGCTAATTTATCATTACAACAAAATAAGTTATTTTGTAATTTGTCTTTCACAATAAAAATGATAAAATTAAATATTATATATATATGAAGTCAATACTGATGTCAATTAAAAAATCATCTATAATATGCTAGCCTATTAAAAAAAATGAAGACTCATATATACTAGTGACCTGTTCAGACATGCACATTATATTAGTGTCAATTTCAACCATTTAATAATAATAAAAATGTGATAAATATAAAGAACTTCCATAAATGATGGATTAAGCTACTATGTACAATACTCACATCCCAAGCAACCTTAATGGAAAGAAAGCTACCCAGAGCCTATTTGACTATTAGA